CTGGTCCAGGCTTTGTGAGAAGTGTGTGAGTATTCCTCTGGGAATTCTTTAGTTACTAGATGATTCTGGGCTATGGTTATCTTTTGCTACCACATAGTTATTATCTAGTATTTCCAGTGGTAGCAATTAGAGAAATTAGCATGGTTAGTGCCTTTGGACTGATTTATTCTCTTAAGCTCAGATGCAGGTAGGAGATATTTAACTGTCCTGGTTCTGTCAGGGTCCAAATGATGCCTAGGCTTCCACTGCTTAGTCAAGCATTTCTGGGGTTAATTTTCATTAAAATGACCCTGATCCTAATGACAAGTGACTATTTCTGCCCTCATTTGCAATTTTATATTAATGTCCTATTGTTTGTTTCTCACTAAAGAATGCAGAGACATTGTCAAAAGCTTCTGTTAATCTCTTACATATCATTCCTAATTTTTCAGAATTGTTTCTTTATAAGAACCTGTTTTTCTTTTAGGATAAATAGTACTTAAGGACAAGAATTGCCTTTCCTTTAACCAATGCAATGGGTAGTTGAAAAAAATAAAATGAATGAATAAGCAAATAAATAATTCTATATCTGAACAAACAATATTCTTAGGAATTCACAAAGAAACATTTGGAATTTAGACTGGCCACAACACATCATGAGAAACCTTTAGTGAGTTCCTTAACCCCTTGGTCTACATCAACAAAAATGCTCACTTCAAAAGCTTCAAGTGAGGGTGAGATGAGAAAGATTTTTTTTTTGTTGAAATATCTAGCAGTGTGTGAATGTCAAATCCATCTGAGCATATTATCATATTACTAGATAGCTGAGACTTACTCAAAATAGAACTACAGCAAGAAGAATTTAATGTTTCTGTTAGGTCCCTTTGCCGGATTTCATTTGTACCTTAAGAAAACATAAAATTTAGTGGCTTTATGAATTTTAAAGATTATTTAGCTTAAATTTACTCATTTAGTAGGCAAAGGACTGAGACACGTAACTTCAAGGTTATATGACTAATAATTAGCACATACGATTTTCCCTTATATGTTGCATACATGATAGTCTGCATTGTTTTTCTGCAAGATGTGCTGAAAGAACTGATCCTTTCTCTTGAGTCTTGGCTGAGAATGATGCCAGCAATTTACCTTGAATTTTTTTTAATAACTTTTTGTTTTGCTTCCAATGATTAAAAGAACACATGCTCATTCTAGAAAAATTGGAGGAAAAGAATAAAAAAAGAAAATGAAATTTACCTACAGTCCCATTATACCAAGAATTTTAATATTTCAATATATTTAATAAAATTGGGATGATTCCACATATATTTTGTACTTGGTTTTTTTCATTTGTCATTATTCCATAGACATTTCCTCCATATCTTTAAATAGTCTTTGAAACTATGATTTCAAAAGTCTGCATAATATTTTTCCATACAGATTTACCATAGGTTAGGTAACAGAGTGAAATGCTCTTAAGAGTCAGTCAGATTGGCGATGGAGTTCCAGCCCCACTCCTCAACACCTGGGTGATGCTAAAACAGCTACTGACTCTCATTAAGCCTCAGTCCTTACATTTGCCAAGTGTTTATAATAGTCATCACACATGGTTTCTCTGAAGGTTAAATTATATATATATATATATATATATACACACATACATATATTTAGCATTGTGCCTGCACATAGCAATTAATAGGAGCTATTTATTATTTATTTTACCATATTCTTATTATTAGACATTGAGGTTGTTTTCAGTTATAAACAACAGTTGAAATATCTTCTCCGTAGCCACCAGAGTAATCTAGCTGAAATTTATATCTGTTATGGTACTCCTATGCTTAGTATCTTCTGTAGCTTCCCATCAGGGGTTTTCAAACTTTTCTTTCAGCTTAGAACCCTTTTGTTAAATATCTTAGCATTTCCCAGGGGTGGGGTTCAGAGCTGGAAAATTTCCCATCTCTGCCACCTCAACATCCCTGTTTGACCCATACCCCAACATCTTCCCTAAGAAATACTAAGGATATTCTGAACACACTCGGATGAACTCTTACCTCAGAGTAACAGAGAGCTCCCAGAATATAATATATAACATCACCAAACTGCCCCTTTCTGAAAGATCTTGATATAGTTTCTTTTCTTATGACTTTTTTTTCCCCCCGTACTGGGGATCGAACTTAGGACCTTGCGCCTACGAGGCAGGCACAGTGCCACTGAGGTAAATCCCTGGCCCTCTTATGACTTTTCTTATGTCATTGTATCTATATAGAATATCCTTAACCCCCATCTTCCTAAGAATAACATTTATCACTAACTCAACATGTGCATCACTTCCTCCAGGAAGCCTTTCCTGCCTAATGAGATGATATTCTTCCCTGTTCCCAGGATATCCAATTTTCTATCTTTGTCAATTTCATACTCCCTTGATGCTCTAGACCAGAGATAGTGAAACTTTCAGAGCTTTCAATAACAAACAACTGGCTGTGGCACATGTGCCATAGGTTTGCCCCACTGCTCTGGACTGTGAGCTTGGAGAAGAAAGGGACTTTGTTATATTGACCATTGTATTCCCAGTCCCCAGCATAGTGTCTGGTACATGTAGATGCACATTAAGACTATTTGTTAAGTCCATACTTTTGAATAAATTTTAGGATGCCTCTCTGTTTATTTCCTTAGGACAGCTTTCTGGCAGCAGGATTATTACTAGGTGAAAAGGCATGCACATTTCCAGGTCTTTTGATGCACTCTTGGTAAGATTTATTGCAAAAAATTGTAAAGCGTTCATTTGAAAAACAACTGTCTCTCCTGTACCCATTAATGTTTGCTATTTGTATTTGGGGAAATGGCTAAAGAAGCTACTTTTTGCAGTTAAAAGACTGGCTAGTTTTTGCAATATCTGATTTGGTTAAAGGCAGACAAATGTATTATCACCTGAGGTGCCCAGCATAGAGTAGGGTCCTAAAAATGTTGCTGTCAAATAGCACATGTAACCAGACTGCTGGAGAGATACACTACCTAAAAGTGGTAACTTTAGCCACTTTCCATCCATATAATTTCGCTAAGCCTATTTTCTCATCTGCAAATGGGTTTAATGATACCTCTTATGGGGTCATGTGATGATTGAATTGAATCAAATGGGCTGACACACATAAAATCCTAATATATACATTTGTGTGCTTTTACAAACTGTTAATGAAGAGAGCTAGATACATGAAGTTGGATAATCTGGACTGCACCAGGAGATCACAGCTCCAAGTTTTGGAAATAAACAGATTTTCTCATGTGGCATGGCTTTTCATAAAATCCCATAATGTCCATAGACAAAATATTAGGATATAAATAGATCATCCCACTTAATCTCATGGAAGATAGAGAAACCGTAACTATAAAAATCTTACATTTTAGGGGAAAGTTAAATAAATTGAAGTGGCTCTATGACACTTTAAAATATTACACTCAATTATTTGGTTTTAAATACTCATGTGTCCATGACTTCAAAAATCCAAATGTCTAGCACGGAACTCTCTCCTGATTTGACTCATATATCCAACTGTCTGGATGACTCTTGCATGGTTAACTCAGTGTGCTCCAAACTGAATTCGTTACTTCCTTTCCTCCCATGGTGGTCCAAATTTGTTGTCCCTGTTCTCCCCTATTTCATCATTACCCACTGCGTTAACCCAAACAAAAAACTTGAGTGACATCATTAACTCTTCCCTCATTCCCCATCATCACATTCAATTAGTCACCAAATCCTGTTGTCTCAAAATCTTAAATATCTTGCAGATATATCCCTTCTTTTCCATCACAACTGTCACTGCTTTGGATCAGTCCCTCATTACTTCTTGTTTGGATTTCTGTGGTAAGCTCCTAACTAGTACCCTTGATTTTGGTATTGCTCTTTCCAGTCCATTACTCATATCCTTGTCATAAGCATATATATATATTTATAGAATATATATATTACATATACATATAATCAATCTGAATGAAAATTAGCTGTAAACAGTAATAGATATCAATGTCTTCAAATCATATTCTTTAAATAGTATGATGTCATAGGCTAAGACATTATCAGTTAAACATAGTTCTCCTGGAGACAGGTTGACTGCCTGGCAGAAGAATCAAATGAAAAAAATATAGCGATGAGTGAAATATCTGTTCACTTGAAATAATACTCATGGAGAACTGACACTTATTAGGTTGTGCAGAGACGATGTTGCAGTAATGCTAGAAGGGCATGGTGGATTAAGACGAACTTTTCCAGTGTTCTGAGGACTACATGGTCTTTGTGAGCATGACAGAGAGAGGATCATTTACTAAAACCTGCTAGAACTTTAATTCCAGGAGTCAAAATCACAACCAAAAAGAAACAAACTTTTCTATCCTCCAAATGAAAAGTATATTGTAAAGTGGCTAAAAAGAGGCTTTCTCAGTTTCATGGCCATGATGAAATCCCAGATATCAGGGACTATAAATGAGGGCATCATCAATGCCTCAAGCCTTTGATACATCTACTGCCCACAGGTTAGAGAAGGGCCTAATGTTAGCATATCCAGAGAAGATGACAGCAAGTATAAAATTAAATTGAAATCTGGAGACTGGAATAGTCAAATAAGACTTCCAAACAAAGAGAGATGAGACATGGTATTTTAGATTAGTTTTCTCAAACTATCTGTGGTAAAGACTAGTTATGCTTGTAATTCCAGATAGTCAGGAGGCTGAAGCAGGAAGGCTGGCCTTGGTAACTTAGTAAGACCCTGTGGCTCACAGCTCCCTAGGTTCAATCCCCAATACCATAGAATCAAAAACAACAAACAAAACCAAATATGTGTAAACTACCAGGGACTGTATTTTATAAAATGCAATAAAATTAACGTTAAAAAAATGAAAAATAGAAGAGATATCATATACAGACCATCACTGTTTTAAAGGATTTATTCAAGATGAATGGGAGAGATTTTCCTCACAAAAATATACTCTTGGGAAGACACTAACCTGTTAGTTGATGTTCACATACCTTTCCTTGAAAGACTGAAATAGTTTGGCTGGTTGCAGCTAGAAAAACCTCCATCTCTGGTCAGGCCAAGTTGAAATCATCTTCAAGAGAAAATGTCAAACTTGTTTGTACCAAGTCAATATCCTAGAAAAACAATGGACTGGTAGATGAAAAACCCTCATCAGAGAATATATATGCTGAGACTATAATGTTCACTGTATTGTTCAGTGATGGACTTTTCAGTCAATTAATCAACCATTAAGAATGTCCCTCCATTCCCACTAGATCTCAATCAATTATTATGATGGCTGATTTGAGAGGCTGATAGTCACGGTGACAGAAACACTAATGATAGGGCAGGTTCCTTCATCCTCTATTGAACCATAAATATCCACCAAGCACAAGTTATATTCAGGCTTCTTGCTGTCCTTATTCTAAATACAAGGGCAGCTGCTGCTTTCTGGAAAAACATGTATAGTCTATGCTTAAATATTGGGCAGAAGATTTCAGCTTTTAGATCCACTATTGTTTTAGGTTAAAAGGGCTAAGAAATATCAATAGCAGGGATAGTCAAATGAAGTAATGGACAGAGATCTTTATTTCTTACCTTTAAAAATTTGTTGTCCTAAAAAAAATTTTGTTGTCCTCATAATCTAGTTTGAAACCCTGCTATGGAACACATTTAACATGACTCTCACAGATTATTTCTTATTATGGCCATCAGTGAAATGATGGCTGCTGGTAACTTTAGATACAAGAAAACAGAGATAATGCATGGAGAATATAAGCATTTATTTATAGTTCAAATCATAATTTGAGGGGACTGCAACGGACAAGTTGAAGAACAGAAGACTTCAGGGAGATGGATTTCAAGCAGTGTAAAAGAGAAATCCTTTGGAAGTGAGAGTTTAGGTCCACAGATATTCACTGAATGTGTTGGAATCAAGGGGGATGCAAAGTTAACACAATGCTGTCCCTTGTTTTCATGGTCTGGTGTCTGAGGCAGACATGTATAGGAATGACTGCAAAGTGATAGGAGGCATGCAGAAATAGGAATTTGTGCAAGGTACAGATATGGTACAGGTGAGGGAACGATTAACTCTCTCAGGTAGAATTGTAAAAAGATACAAAAGCTTAAAACAATTTACCCCCTAAATGTTAAGTTAAATCACTTCTAGAAGTTGCTAATGGGAGAACTAAGGCCTATTTTATCTTAAGTCAAGTATGCATATAAAACTCTCACTAGTTAAGATTTAGGTTAAAAACTCTTCATCAAGACAATTATCTTCTATCAAAAGTTACATGTACACATACTGATATCCCTATGCCAGATCAAAAACTATCAGTAAAATTCTCATTCAAGTATAGACAAGTTTCTAGGAAGGAAAAATTTTGAGCAAGTACTGGAGAGAATTTACAAACAGGAAAGTAATAATGGATGAAAAGAATGAGCTCTACATGGTTCAGACCTTCAAAAGAGAAGGACATTCTACACCCTTATTGGGCTCAAGTACTTTTAGATTCTTTTAACAAATATGTAACAGATAAATATTTTGAGCTTGATGTATCTAATATAGCTTCTTTATGATCAGTTTTCTAATAGAATAATCACTGTTATTTTTGTCCCTCATTAGTTCTGTTTTTTAATAACAACTGTTGAGATATACTTACATACCATAGAATTCAAGCCTTTAATGTACACACTTTAGTTTTAGTATATTTTCAGAGCTAATATACTAAACTATAATTATCACCACTACCTTATTTTTGAATATTTTTATCATCTCAAAAAGAAGTATTATACTCATTAGCAGTCATTTCCTATCCCTTTCTTTCTTCAGCTTCTAGCAACCACTATTTTACCTTCTACCCTATGAATTAGCCTATTTTCAACATCTTGTTTTACTGTAATAATATATGGCCTTCGTGTCTGGCTTCTAGCATTTTTTTTTTTTTTTTGGTACCGGGGATCAAACTCAGGACCTTGCACTTGTGAGGCAGGTGGTGGCACCACTGAGCTAAATCCCCGGCCCACTTAGCATGATATTTTTAATGTTCATTCATGTAGTAGCATGTATTCATACTCCATTCCTTTTCATGGTCAAATAATATTCTCTTCTATGGGTACATCACATTTTGTTTATCCATCAGTTAATCAACATTTAGGTTACTTTAACTTTTAGCTATTATAAATATTTTTCTATAATGTTTAATGTACATGTTCTTGTATGCACATATATTTTCAATTCTCTTAGTATATACTGAAGAGTGGAATTGCTGGGTCATTTGTTAGCTATTTCCTTAACATGTTGAGGAACTGCCACACTGTATTCCAAAGTGGTTGCACCATTTAAAAATCCTATCATCGTTCTGTTCACTACAGAACGAAGGCTGGCGCCCACTCTGGGTTTCCCTTCTCCAAATACTCTTTACAAAACAAGGAACACTGAACCTGTCAGAATGTTGGTCTGAGGACCAGTGGGGCAAGTGGGAAGCTGCCCGCTCCTTCCATCTGGTCTCGCCCTGCGTGTGCCTGTCCTCGCACATCCACGGGCTCAGAGGCCTGGAGCCCGGTTCTCCACAGGTCTTGGCCTTCTCAGAATCAGGGCAGAGAAGCTCAGCCGGTCCCAGCACCCAGAAGGAAGCTCCCCCACCTCCATCCCAGGCTCCTAGGGCAGAGAAGCTCAGCTGGTCCCAGCACCTGGAAGGAAGCTCCCCGCTTCCATCCCATACTCCTAGGGCAGAGAAGCTCAGCCGGTCCCAGCACCTGGAAGGAAGCTCCCCCACTGCCATTCCAAGCTCCTAGGGCAGAGAAGGTGAGCTGTGTGGCCCCCAGAAGCATCCCCCCGCCGTGGAAATGAGAAAACACATAAACAAGTCTCAAAAACAGAGTTTCAGATCACCTACAGCAACCCCAAAGGGAA